TGTTACTGAGGCATGGGGAGGTTTGGTGTCATGCTAGCTGTAGTAGAGAATGAGGGAAGAGTTTTTTTTTAATTTTTTAAATTTTATTTATTATTTTTATTTTATGTGTTGAGTGTATTGCCTGCATGTATGTGAGAGCACCCTTGTCATGCAATGCCACAGAGGTCAGAAGAGGGCTTTGGATTCCCCTGGAGCTGGAGTTTAGGAAGGTTCGCAGCTGCCATGTGGGTGCTGGCAATCAAACCCCAGTCCTCTTCAAGAGCAGTCAGTGCTCTTAACCGCTGAGCCATCTCTTCAGCCCTGAGAATGAGGGAAGAGCTTTATACAGGAGTCAACATAGTAGGATATCGGCTTTCAAAAAATCATGGTGAATTTGTCTTGGAGGAAGACCATTTAGGAGAGTGGTATGAAGTCCCCTGAGATGTGGAGGCGAGGAATGAGCTACGGAAGAGCAGTGGAAAGGAAGTGTGGGTGCATGTTGCAGGGTATGTCAAAGGTCTAGAGATGGGACTTCTTGATGGGCTGGGGGTGAGAGATGGTGAAAGGAGGGCCCTCAAGAGTGGCTGTCATCCTGTGGCTGCGTGTCTGAGGGGCGCTGAGATGGGAACATTAGAAAAGAAACAGATACGGAGAGAAAAGAGAATTTGGTTGGGGTACGTAAAGTTTAAAGTACTAGTGGGACATCTGAAGTATGATGGAGAAGGCAGTGTGACATGGTGGCATGTCTGAGGGTGGATACCCTGGAGTTATAGGGTGGTTTACGTAACACCCCTCTCTCACTTGTGCTGACCTCCTTGGTTAGCACATAGCTTTGTCCTACAGAAAAAGGGTAGTCCATATGCTTTTTCTTTTTAAAAATTTATTTAGCTTTTTATTTTATGTGTATGCGTATATTATGTGCATGTATGCCAGTGCACCCGTGTCATGCAATGCCAGTGGAAGACAGAAGAGGGTGTTGAATTCCTTGGAAACGGAGTTACAGATGGTTATTAGCTGCCATGTGGATACTGGGATTTGAACCCAGGTCTTTTGCAAGAACAACCAGTGCTTTTAACAGCTGAGCCATCTCTCCAGTCCCTATATGTTTTCTCTTAAAATAAGGTTTTTATATATGCTGCAGACCTTATTGAGATCTGGATATTATTACCTTTTCATAGATGAGGAGGGAACTGATATTCAAAATGATTGAACTAATGACAGCCAGTAAGTGATGGTTTGGATTATCAGGGCCAGTTCTCTACATATGAATCGATGTATTCATTCAATAATTATTTATTGAGCATTGAATATGTAACAACAACTGTGCTTGGTGATAGGAATTTCTAAAATAATCCCCAAATGGTTGGATCATCTTTGAATAATCCTGAAATTTCAACTACCTTGAGACCAGTCTCACTACTTTGTTTCATCTAACACTGATTAATAATGAATTTTGAAATTTTTACTGTTTTGTTTTTTTTTTTTGAGACAGGATCTCCTTGTAGCCCCAGCTGACCTGAACTTGCTATGTAGACCAGGCTGACCTTGAACTCACAGAGCTCCACCTGCCTCTGCCTCCCTAGTGCTGGGATTAAAAGTGTGCACCCACCACCCCCGGCTCATTACTGATGTTTTTTGGAGAATAGAAAGGAGGATTATATCACATTAAACCATAAGCTCCTTGAAGGCAAAGACTCTGACTTACTTATTAATGCATAAGGAGCACTTAGCGCAGTGCCGGGGACATACTGATCACATACTTGACAATGAATGACATGCTATGTAGCCAAATTTAGTTCATCTTCCTAAATAACTTCTCATGTGTCTTCCATCCTGCCTTCCCCAGCATCGAATCCAAAATGGTTGATGAAATTAAGTTGATTTGAATCATGCAGAAGAACTCTATGTCTTATGGAGTTGAAGGAATTCTCTGGGTTTTTTCCTGGCTTTCAGATACATGTAGTTTTTCCTTGAAACCAAATATAATTAGTTTGAACACACACACACACACACACACACACACACACACACATATATATTGGCCTAGGAGTCAATGGTTGAGAAAACAACTACAAAAGCAAAACTCTTCATGGAAAGGGAAGAAATGATCTCAGTATTTCCTGGGTGCCAGGAGAAGAGCTGACAATAAACGGCATTAGAGCTCAAACAAATGTGAAAGACAGGCATGCAGAAGCAAATCAACATGACGGAAGAGAAGCTACCCAGGTCACTTTCTAGACAGACTGTGACTTGGTCTTGTGACTATATTTTAGAGAGTTTCCACGCACAGCAGCCTGTCAACAGCTGAGGGTTTTGGAGTCATCTTTATGAATCCTGGAGCGGAGGTCCTGGGAACAGCACACCTTGCAGTTTCTGTGTGGCATGAGGAGCACGGGGCCCTTGGGCTCACACCTCCTCAGGCCTGGCAAACCAACCTGTTCTGTTTAGGGAACGAACCTCCAGCTGAGAAGAAGCAAACCTTGGTCTTCAACTCTCAGCCCTGATTTCTTTCCCTCTCATTGAGGGAGAAGATAAATCATTCTTGTTTTATAAAACTGTCACCCTGGACATGGTGGTGAACACCTATAATCCCAGCACTCGGGAGGCAGAGGCAGGTGGATCTCTGTGAGTTCAAGGCCACCCTGGTCTACATAGCAAGTTCCAGGCCAGCTGGGGCTACAGAAACAAAAACTGTTACAACCCTTATTCCCTTTACCTTATAATCCACTCTCAGGCCTTATAAAAAAAAAAAAAAATTAAATACCTCCTAGAATTTGACAATGGTTCATTTTCTGTTTACTTTGCTGTTGACCTTCCTATAAATGATGAGCATTGCTCTATATTTAAGCTTTAAGTGTAGAGTATCACTGTGAGATTAAGAAAATGGAATATTTGGGTAAAGAAAGCAAGGTTTTTGTACCTCACACAAGGTAGTCCTGTTTAATATGCTAAACACTTCAGAGTGAAAAGAAAATGAAATCAAGACGTGTACTCTTTACATCTTGGGCAGATAGAGTATGTTTCATTCTCTACCAAGCCAAGAAGTAAGAACTTCCCTGGCAACACTTGGTGCTATCCACTCTTGTGCCTCTTTTTCTTTCTGTGACAGCATGAAGTTGGCAGAACATTAAGAACTTGAGGCTGAGGGAAAAAAGCCTGATCTTCCTACTCACAGAAGAGGTTCTAAGACAGCTTTGCTAACACAGCATTGCTGAAAGGGCTTGTATATGAGTCAGGCACACGTGTTAAGTGGGTTGAGGAGATGTGCAGAATTTTTGAGGATTTCTGATAAAGCAGCACACAAGCGTGTCTTTGGGTTATTGTATGAGTGTGGTGCAGTCTGTAGTTTGACTTCCTTGGGTCTTTTTGTTGTATGTTGTGCTTCAATGAAGCCTGTTGCAAGCTCTTTTTCCTTTGCTATCAGAATTCCCCTAATTTCATGATGGAGAATTGAGGCTTTGTAGCAAGAATGCTAAATACTCCTGCAAATTTCACAGACAAAAATAAGTGAGACAGTTATTATGCATCTGATTACAGAAACATGGGCTCAGTTCTCCTAATTTCCTAATCACAGATGCATTTCCACACTCGCCATAGTTAGTTGGATGCTGTCTGAAGTGCCCAGGAATCAAGCCAAAAGCAGGGCTAAGCAAAGACCAGGAATACAGATGGATTGCATAACATGCAACTTTAGGCTTCTAGATTTCTCCTTCTTCCTAGAGCCTGTACTGTTCTAGAGCAGCCAGATTGAGCAACGAAAGACAGATGTGCCTATATTTTATCTCATGGTCTATGAAAGCTCTTAGTAGCTTTGTATTAGTCCTAGGCCATCCTGCCTAATTTGGGAAAAATCAGAGGTAGTTATCAAACCTTAAAACAGTATTTCTTTAAACCCAGTCCCAGATAATTTGCATTAGAATGGCCTGAGTTGTGGAAAAATACAGATTCCTGAGTATCATCCTAGGTTCCTAGAATCAGAAATTGTAGGTAAGAGGGGTGTGAATTAAAAAAAAAAATCTCAGGGCTGAAGAGGGGGCTTACTGGTTAAGAGCACTGGCTGCTCTTCCAGAGGATCTGGGTTCAATTCCCAGCACCCACATGGCAGCTAACAACCATTAGTAACTCCGGTTCCAGGAAGAATTCAACACCTGCTTCTGACCTCCTCAGGCATTAAACAACATTGGTGCACTTACATACATGCAGGCAATACACTCACATAAAATAAAAATAATAAATAAAGTATTTTTAAAAAAAAAATCTCAGCAAATTCTCAGGTGCACTAAAGCAAGAAAATTATTTAAGGACCTCAGAATCTGTTTTGTCCCAACTTGACATCTTCCTGCTTATAGAGGACACACAAACAATACCTGGCATTTACCTGGTTCCTCAGCTGCATAGATTATGCACTCCCTTAATGCCTTTTTGATACATTTGCTGTGGCAATAAGTACACTTAATTTCTTCTTACAAGAACTTTGAACTTCAGGAGAAAAAGCAGATAGACACCCAAGAAAGTCCAAGTTTCTCTTTGATTGCCCTATCAGGAGGGACTAACCCTGTCCCTGGCCTGCCTAAATTGCGCGCGCGCGCGCGCGCACACACACACACACACACACACACACACACATACATACACACGTGTACGCACAAACGGAACACACATTTTTTTTCTTATTTTTATTTTATGTGTATGAGTGTATTGCCTGCATGGATGTGTATCCACCCGTGTCGTACAAAGCCTCGGAGGTCAAAAGAGAGCTTCGGATTCCCCTGGAACTGGAGTTAAGGACGGTTCGTAGCCGCCCTGTGGGTGCTGGGAATCGAACCCAGGTCCTCTGCAAGAGCAGTCAGTGCTCTTAACCTCTGAGCCACCGCTCAGCCGCTCAGCTGTGGAACACACATTTTTTAAAAGAAAAGACTACATATCCCAAGATGCAATGTTACCTATCAAAGGCTACTATTCCCAATATGCACTGCAGCCAGGGGTCGTAAAGGAAAAGAACCACCAGCTTGACTGGAAAGTTTCCTTCTTTGTCACCTCAGGCAAAGGAAAGATTTAGAAAGGTTCAAGAGAATGGTTTTTTGTTTGTTTGTTTTTTGTTTTTTTTTTGCAGGGGTGGTCACTCCTAAATCCAGGCAAGAAAGGGGAGGAGTCTGAGCCAAGTCCCTCCTCCTCCCCCTGGCACTTGTATCTCCTAAACGTGACCCAGGCTGGAGTTTGAAAAGCTGGGAGTAGCTGTCCACCGCGAACTAGCCCCATGGTTTCGGTTACCAGAACCGTGTTTGGAGAGCTGCCCTCGGGGGGAGGGACAGTGGAGAAGTTCCAGCTGCGGTCAGACCAGCTAAGTGTGGACATCATCTCCTGGGGCTGCACCATCACGGCTCTGGAGGTCAAAGACAGGCAGGGGAAAGCTTCAGACGTGGTGCTCGGCTTCCCCGAGTTGGAAGGTGGGTTGCATCCTGCTAGGGGCTGTAATGCGCCCCGGGCTCATTCCGCAAACACCTGAATCCCAAGTACTGGTCCTTCCCGGCCCTCGTGGAATGGGCGCAAAAGCTGGGGAGCTTGGGTCTAATTTAGGAGCGCGGGGATGGATTCGCAGGATTGTGTGGTTGGAAATACCGGAATGAATGCAAATAGCTGTAGGGCTTGGCCCCTAGTTAGCCATTCAGTCTGTCACTGTCCTAGAGGAAGTACGCTGAGACAGCCTGGAGTGATCTTTGAACTGCAGGGGGTGTGGCTCACTTTTTCCTCTGTGGAAGGAAAATCACAGACATGCACCTTCTAGTTCTTTATCAAATTTTCTTTGAGGCCTGCTTGAACACAAATGCCCCAGGAATGTGGGCCTTAGTGTAAACTCAGCGCTTGGCTGCTGTGGTCAGTGGCGGTCCAGTGCCCCCATCGGCTCCGCAAACATGACCCGAACGAAAGGGAGAAAGCCACCTTTCGTTTTGGATCAAGTTTTTTGGGGGGTGTTTTGTTTTGTTTTGTTTCGTTTTGTTTGAGACAGTCCCTTGGAGCCAGCCAAGGCTGGCCTGGAACGCCTGATCATTCTGCTTTCACTTCCCAAGTACTGACTGGGATTACAGGCAAGTCACCATCCCAGGCATACATCATATCTTAATCTATGCCTTTAAAAACGCTGTTAAGGCCGGGCGTGGTGGTGCCTTTAGTCGCAGCACTCCGGAGGCAGAGGCAGGCGGATCTCTGTGAGTTCGAGGACAGCCTGTCTACATAGAGAGTTCTAGGCCAGCTGGAGCTACAGGGAGCTCCTGTCTCAAAAAAGACCCTTCCCCCCCACCAAAAAAACCGATGTTAATTCATTAATTCAATGGATTCACTCAACAAGACAGTCAAGGGTCACCTTCAGCTTGCAGTTTAGTTTAGCTAGGGAGACAGATTTTTTTTTGTTTTTTTGAGACAAGGTCTCCTTGTAGTCCCAGCCATTTTGGAACTCACTATGTAGACCAGGCTGCCTTTGATCTCACAGAGGTCAAGTGTCAAGTGCTGGGATTCCCAAGTGTTGGGATTAAAGCCATGCACCATGACACCTGGCTAGAAAGACAGATTTTAACCCAATAAATACATACTTAAGTCATTTCGATTGCAGTTTGATTGCAGCAAGGGTAAAGTAAACATCTTGCATTGGCATTGTAGAGTAAGTAGGCAGAAAATGAGATCTGAAGTAAAATCAGCCAAGGAAACAGAATTAATACGCTCTGCTCAGTGGTGGGGTGGGGACAAATTCTGTGCCACCAGACGTTTGAGGTTTGCCTTTTAAGGTGTGTCTTTCTATTTAGTTCTTCAAATGTTTAGCTCTTGGTTTGGGGTCAACAGGAAAACCTTAAGAGTTTTACTTGTCCCTTAGAAAAAGAATTGCCCTCAGTCTCCTTGACAAGATTTATGATAAGAGTATTGCTGAGGCACCTATGCTGAACCTCTGGTTGTCTTTATGTTTTCATTTGCCCTGGAGCCTCCACAGCTTGAGTTGGAGAAGAGGGCTGCCTTTTCAGCAGAATTTCTCTGGCAACTTAGTTGAAGAGGCTGTTACAGAGGGACTGACTGGTGGGAGGATATGGGGACTTGGAGAGGGTAAATCTCACTTCCTTTTCTGTGTTTAGACATCTTCAAAGGCTGAAGGCAAGAGGGTAGGCAGGTGGTAGAGGTGGAGTCTAGTGCCGTCTTGCTGAGTCACTCCTCTTTGCTGATGGCTTAGCCCTTTTGGAGCTGGTATAAAACGAGAAGAGATTACAGGGGGAGCCCAATACATAGCCCAGAATACAAAACCAGTAAGAGAACTGGAGGTGACAAGTGGGCACCAGCTCTTGTCACCTGTTTCCATCTATTCCATATCACTGTTTAGAGAGGCACTACCCACCCTGTACAAAGATACACAACCTCCGTCCTCCTCAATTTTAGTTCTGAGATAAGAGTCCTGTTGGATCTAAAATAAAATCACAAGATATCCCTGGAATCCATATTGTTGGTGCAAAATCACAACTCTCACCTCAAAAGGGATAAGAGAGCCAAATAGGAAGGCCCGTGGCCCAAGACAAATTGAGGTTACCCCAAATTACATGTTCCAATGTGGCAATAGTTTCATTAAGAAAAGTCACAAATCAAGACATTTTTCAAATACATTGGTGGAAACATTAAAGTAAGGGGATACAGTAAAAGAGAAGAAATCTCATCTATAGGCCTTGGATGCCATCCGATGGGACTCAGATTTTTGGTTGGTGGAAACTGGTGGCCTGCTAAAGGTTTTTATCTGTTCATCACACCATGTTGTCAGAAACAAGGATGGGCATATTTAGGGGGCTAAAAATAGCCCAAGATAAATGGTAATTAGGCTCTGGACCTTCAACATTTCAAACTCCCCATAATCACTGAAGTTCTAATTGGTTGATCAACCTTTGTAGAATGTTCAGATTTTGTTTTTTGCTTTGTTTGTTTGTTTGTTTGTTTTTTGATAGTTTTGAGACAGGGTCTCCCTGTAGCCGTAGCTGTCCTGGAGCTCTCTGTGTAGACCAGGCTAACCTTGAACTCACAGAGATTTGCCTGCCTCTGCCTCCCAAGTGCTAGGATTACAGGAGTGTGCCACCATGCTCGGCCTTAGAAGGTTCAGGGTTTTGTTTTGTTTTTTGGTCTTTTTGAGACAGGGTCTCCCTTCAGACCCAGCTGGCCTGGAACTCACTATGTAGACCAGGCTGGCCTTGAACTCACAAAGGTCCACCTGCATCTGGTTCCCAAGCACTGGAATGCACCATCATACCCAGCTAGAATGTTCAGTTTTAAGATGCAGTTTTTCTGGGAAATTTCATTCACAATGTGAAATGTGGCCAAGATGGCATGCCACCCAGGAAGTACCAGTTTCTTGATAGGCATGGAAATACCAATTGCGTGAGGCCGTTCACATGACCATCTCAGTCTGGGATGCTTGTGGGAGCAAGCGAAAGAAATTATTACCCCCAAGTATTCATAAAAGCTTCAGAGAAAAGGCATTAGTTCCTCCAGATGACGTGTAATTTATTGACCTTCCTGGTGCCAACATAGCTTGAGAAGGTTCCACAGTTTTCTTATCAGGATGCAATACAGCTTCACGAAATGTCACACCTAATCAAACCATTTCATATATTCTTGGTGGGATCAAGATGAGCATTTCCATTCCTGTGCTGTAATTTAAATAATTGAGTTCTTTTAAAAGAAAAGAAAGCTATTTTCAAAAGAGAAGTTGAAGGGAAAACACACAGAATATTAAGTAACATTTTCTAATGTGCTGAGCTGTCTTCAAGGTTATTGAATATCTTTTTTTTTTTTGGTCTTTTTGTGACACGGTCTCCCTATAGCCCCAGCTGGCCTGGAACTCACTACATAGACCAGGCTGGCCTCAATCTCACAGAGATCCGTCTGCCTCCCGAGTGCTGGGATTAAAGGCATGTGCCACCATGCCCAGTTAACATGAAGTGTATTATCTCCAGTGAAAAAGTATCAAATTGTTCTCTGCTATTATTTTGATCAATTTTAGTGTATCAAAACCTTCAAGACCCATAATGAGGGAGTAGGGAAATAGCTCAGTTGATGGGTGCTTGCCGCTCAAGCATGAGGACCCGAGTTCAGTCCCTCAGCAACCACATAAAAATTGGCTATTATGTTGAACTACACACGCCCATGTAAGTGTATCCATACATATGAACACATGTATGAATAGAAAGAGAGAGAGAATATAAAAATAAATAAGTTTTTAAAAACTCTATGTAAAGAAACTAGTGCCTGTCATGATGACGCAGGCCTATAATCCCAGTATATGGGAGGTAGAGGCAGGAGGATCAGGAGTTAAGGAGGCCAGTCTGGGTTACATGACACCTTGTCTTGAAAAATAAATACAAAAACAACCTAATAATATAGTAGAGATTGGTTGTCCTTAAGAAAGGACCTTGGGATAGGAAGGAGATTCTATTTTATGTTATATATACATATATATAATAGTTATAATTTTTCTTGAGTCAGGGTTTTACTATATAGCACAGGCTAGTCTTGAACACAGTGTCTTTCTGCCTCAGCCCCCAAGTGCTATAATTACTTTATAGTCTTTGTATTTATTTGTTTGTTTGTTTCTTTGTTTGAGATAGGGTCTCCCTATATCCCTAAGTGACCTAGAATTCACTATGTAGATCAGGTTTGGCCTTGATCTTATAGAGATCCCCCTAACTGTGCCTCCTGAGTGCTGGGATTAAAGACATGTGTGATCATGCCTGGTCCTATTTTTTTGTTTTTGGGTTTTTTTTGAGACAGAGTTTCCCTGTAGCTCCAGCTGGCCTGGAGGTCACTATATAGACCAGGCTGGCCTTGAACTCACAGAGATCTACCTGCTTCTGCCTCCTGAGCACTAGGCCTATATTCTTTCTGTTACCACACCTGTTAAAAATTTTATGTGTATGAGTGTATTGCCTGCATGTATGTAAGTGCACCCATTTTATACAATGCTCGCAGAGGTCAGAAGAGGGTGTTGAATTCCTCTAAACTGGAGTTTCAAATGGTTGTTAGCTGCCATGAGGGTGCTGGGAACGGAACTTGGGTCTTCTGCAAGAGCAGCCAGTGCTTTTAACCACTGAGCCATCTCTTCAGTCCCCTATATTCTTTTTTTTTTTAAAGATTTATTTTCATTATTTTTATTTGTATGTGGTGTCGGGACTGGAGAGATGGCTCAGCAGTTAAGAGCACTGGCTGCTCTTGCAGAAGATCCAGGGCCTGGGTTTGATTCCCAGATGGCAGCTAGCAACCATCGGTAACTTCAGTTCCAGGGGAAACTGATGCCCTCTTCTGACCTGTGGGGACTGCACAACACGGGTGCACTTACACGTAAGCAGGCAATACACTCATACACGTAAAATAAAAATAGTAAATAAATTTTTAAAAATGAATGGAGAGCTAGGGGTGTGGCTCAGTCGGT